TTACTTTATTGTGAAAGCAGTGGGGTTTTCTTTCAAGTGAATATATTTTTAAGTATGTGACAACCTAACACACAATCTGAAGACAGGAACCAAGATGACACAAAAATCTCAAAGCAGCTGAACCAAACCAAGTACAATGCAATGCCTACACAAAAATCTTGCCTAGTCTGTCTTCTCTAGAAGACTAGACTTATCTTCTTGTTCTGGCAAAAACAAAATTTGACTGTAACTTCACTTAGATACAGCTAAGATTCAAAAGTCTCAGCTACCTTTAAAAACAGTCATTTCATAATATTAGGCTAAAATATTACTCATTCAAATATCAAAAATTAGCCAAGTAATTGCCAACATACCAGAGTAAATATTTTAAAAACTAAATTGAATCAGTGAGTTTTACTGTTGCTAAGTACTTCAGACATAAATTTGACTATTGTTGCTGTTTCTTCCCAGGGAATCTAGATAGGTTTGTTTGAATACAGAATAATAGAATTCTACTCATTTCTCTACCCAGTGGCCAATATGCCCTACATGATTGATACTGTGCTCTCATGCTCTCATGCTCTCTCTCTCTCTCTCTCTCTCACACACACACACACACACACACACATTCTTTGGGAACATATATGGTCTTTTTCAACAAAGCTTTTGTTTCTACCCTGCATTCTAAACAGAAAGTAGAAAATCTTTTAAAGCCTCAGTGCTAAAAAGATAAATATCACTACTCCTTCAAAGAAAAGGGGGTAGTGAGGGGAAGGGTTTAACTTACAAAGCATTAGCAGTAGGATTTGTAAGGCCATATAACAGCTAGAACTAAGTTCAGGAGGTTCTGTGTAGACTCTAAATTGCTGTTCATTAAAAGCTTGGGCGATTTAAATTGTTTCTACAAAGGAACAATCTGGTCCAGTAAGTTTCAGCTAGTCCTAGAAAGACCGCTAGTTGCAAGGCCTAGTAATGGAGAGTACGAGAACCCATCTTACATACTGCCGGGAGCTATGACTCCGGACAGGCCTGCAGCCTGACCTTGGGCTTATACTGAGGCCTGGTCAGCCAAAGCACCGCATGCCCACCTGATAGCAAGGCCCGAAGCCCGGGCTCAGCGACTGGGCAAGACCGAAGCGCGAAGCCCAGGCTCAGAGGCCAGATCGGGCCCGGCCCAACCCCGAGGGCCTGGGCTTGCTTGTGCCCGGGCCGGCCGAGCAGAAGCCGCCTGCCGCCGCCTCAGCGCGTGGGGTTGGGCGCTCTGACCCGCCTCGGCTCGGCCTGCAAGGTGAAGAGCCGAGGCGCAGCCTCTCCGCGCCCCAGCAGCGCCCGGCGCCCGCCGCACTCAGCCCCCAGGGAGGTTGAAACTGATCTAAGATGGCGCGGGAGGGTCGGGACGGCAGCAGAATCCAAAGCTGGCCGTACGAGGGCCTCCCCTTCTTCTTCTTCTTCTTCTTTCTATACTGTGATAAATTAAGCAAGTCTGACCTCAACCCTTACGGGGGGGGGGGGAGAGACAACTTCTATCCCAACCTGGGCCGCGACCTTTGATTCCCCAGGGGTCTCCCCACTCCAAGCTCGGGTTTCCTTGGAACACATGGGCAATGTCACCTCACCAGACACCCAAGCCTTCTTGGAAGCCAGGAGGAACGGTGGAGAAGGCGCACCGCCTCCGAGAGAGGCGCGTGGCTGCAAATTTACCTCACGCTGACTCAGTCCACACAGCAGATGGTGGCGGAGCTGCAAGGGAAACGACCTCCCCAATCTTTGTGGGTTTTTTTTTTTAAAGAACTTCCTAATGGCAGCTAAAGCGCGTCTCTGGGTACGAGGCACTCCGTTCCTGTGAAATCTAGGCTCCGTTTCTAAGAGCTTCGTTGACGCACGAGGCTGGGCTTACCAGCGACGCGGCTGCCCCCCGAGGGCGGCGGGCCGTGCCACGCCACGCGTCGTGCGCTCCCACGACCAGGCCTCGGGCGCGCCGCCCGGGGCTCCGTCCGGCCCCTACCGACCCCCAACGACCTGTGCGCTCACCCCTTGCCCCGACACCCAGCGACCAGGCGGGACTTGGGGGGCCGGGTCGGTGGAGCGCAGCCAAGGTCAGGTGTGTGCACTGAGCTACTGAACTCTGAAGCATGCACCGTGTTTTCTACTTTTCGTCCTCTTCGTTAGTTGTTAGGTGTGCAGAGGGGACGGGGGAGGGAGTGGGGGGGAAGGAAACACAAAGGAAAAGCAGTCATCCTCGTTCTGTGCGGCACGCAAAACTCCACGGAACGCCGTCTAGCGGCGGCATCGTCCAGGGAAAGGCAAGTCAGTTTTCTCCTAGCTCGCATCTTTTCATTTTAATTGGAATTTTGAAGCCTCTTCACATCTGTCAAACAGCAGAGGGGACCCAGGACCATCTCTAAGCGGTGGTAATTCCGAACCTGAGGCTAACCCAGACTAACTCAAGAAGATTAAACTGTTTTCTGCCCTTTTTTCCCAGAGACAGGAGTACAGAACCCGCTCCTACAGGAGAGGTAAAAGCAAAGCTCTATGGACTGTTCACTAAGACAAAGCGCCCCCTTCACCCTCGCACACAGGCAGCTCTTGTTTCTAGATTTGTTCTTAAAGGATGGGGATGTGGCCTGGCACAGGGACTGGCACAGGGATTCCGCTACAGAAGGGATCATAATAGCCTCCAGACAGTCCTCGAAGCAAGCTTTAAACTCAATGCTTAAAAGCACCCCACCATGAGTTTCTTCTCAGGGTCCTTCTCCACTCTACCCCTACACATGCTCTGAAACCATCCACTGAAGAATGCAGGCCATTCTGTACATGCGCTTACAGATTCGCCATTCACCCCCAAGGCCTCCCAGGAAGACTAGAATTGTCAAAAACGTGTGGTCAACAACCTATCTTGACAAGCTTTTAAATGCACTTTACTCTCAGCCAACACCTGCAACCTTATTTTGTGAAATCTAAACACATTCCTAATTGTTCAAAACCCTCCTTTTCCCATTCACATTTCCAACTTCAGAGAGAATCAGACATGATGAAGAAAGAGCATGTGTTTACTTGGGGGGGGGATGAGCACAGTAAAGAGAAACTCGACTCATAGGGAGCTAAACAAGGGATAATAAATAAGAAAAGGTAGCTCCTAATGGTGCTATCAAACAAAATTAAGGGGGACATAGGAAGTCGTTCTCATTAAACAGACTGCCCATATTATATTGGGGATGGAGTGCCTAGTCTTTCTTAATCCTTAAGAGTAATCAAGCTATAATATCTGAATTATTTTCAAACTGCAAACTGCTTTCAAACACCATAGTTAGCATTTTTACCAGGTTTATTTTACTTGTTATACACAGACAATACAAACAAGCAAAAAAACAAAACGTTTCTCAATGGAGTGTGTACTTGTATAAATTATTCAGTTCACAGACAAAACGAAACAAATATAAAAATCACAACATTTGATTTACAGAAGAGCCAAAATATACACACGTTTAGACCCTGAATTCCTATTAGGAAATATCCCCCCCGTGGACTGGAATCTAGATTGAAATATTGTGTATGATGCATATTTCACATTAGTTTTAAAGTACAAAAAGTATAGGTTTGCTACACAACATTAGAAATCCTACTAATCTATTTCCAGGGGGATTAATGTGCCTTATCAAATGTAACAAGACTTAGAGGGGGAAAAATCAGTCTTCACTTGCATTAATGCTAGTATTTTCCCAAGGAAGTCAAATTGCAGCTGTTTCTAAGTGGCAAGGGGGGGGTTGTTTTCAAAACTAAAATGCAGTAAAATATACAACTCACACAATTCATCTTCACTAGACTACACTATAGTTACCAACAATTCAGTCATCTATATCATTAGTAGAGTATTCATTACAAAGATTTACAGCATATAAAGGTGGAAGGGGTACTGAAAAGATATTCAGAAACAGTTTGTCAGCATATTTGGCACCTGCACAGACCAGTAATGGATTTGGCACTTTGGGGAAAAACAAATAAGGCAAAATAATATTGCTGATGTCGAGCTATTCTATTTAGAAGGAAGGGAGGAAAACATACAACTCCAGTTAACTTTGCTTTGCAGGCATCATGCCACTTAAGTCGACTTGCCTATGGACAGACACCTATCTTTCACAGGTGTTTGGGTAAGTTTCTCCTTAGCTATGTGTGTGCATTAGGGCACGTATTTCATGCAACGCGTTGAGGAGAAGTGAGAAAGCCATCACTATGGAGTATTTCATGTTTCCAGAGCTTCTTCAAATATTTTTAATATCTCACAAGAAAATGAAGAGAGAGGGGACAGAAAAGGAAAGAATGGGAAGAGAAAGAAACGCAACGAAAGGGAAGGAAAGGACTAAAAAAGTTAAGCATGAACTGGTTTTGTGCCTTGACAATGAGAATAAAAACTAGCCATTCGTTACAATAAATTAACACTATATACAATCATTTCACAGGCTTTGTTCCACTAAAATTATTCACATCCCTACCATCCATCCATCCATCCACTCGGGGATAAGAAAGGACGCGCTGGGTGGGTCCAGATTCTAGAGTCAACTCCTATGGTTAATGGGGAGGCCAAGACACGGAAGGACGGGTCGGAATCGCTGCTGCCCGAGAGGACTGCCCAGGTCTCCTAAAGATGAAGAGTTTTAGTCCAAGAAAGAGAAAGAGGGAGAAAAGGAGAGGGGAAAGAGGACTGTTAGGAGAGTAACTTCACAGAAGAAAACTAAGTTGGGAAACCAAAAGGTTTACAGCAAAGTTGAAGGTCAGCTGAGCTAATGGCAGAGTTGGCTGTGTCAATAATAATAATAATAGAAAGGGGGAAAGGTTAAAATCATAGTGTGAGACCTGCACATATTCGCTGCAGACGGTCATCCAGGGGCAAAGAAAATGAGAGGGTTCGCAACGTGGGGCCTGGGGAAGAGGAGCGAGGGGAGAGCGGTGGGGGGCCTGGCTGGGGGGCTCGGC